TATGCACGTACATCATTTCATGTTGCCATACCATATTAGCATAGAGATGCAAATGTCACTTCAAATCCTATAGTAGTAGAGGTAGTAAAAGTATTAGCAGTAATTGGATGGATTAGGGTTCAATGATATTATTCAAGAAGTAGAATCTAGCAAAATAAACCTAAAAAGAAAAAGATAAAGGTGATGAGGAATTCAGAAGGTTAGGATTTGATAGAACACAAAGAATGAATGCACCTGCACCCCCTGTAAACGGTCTTAAGCCATGTCATTCAAGGTCTCTAACCATCAACCACAATAATCTCGCAGGCCCCAATCAAGTAGTCTACACTTACCAACATGACTCAATTCAGTTGTTAGTGACTTCATGGGCTTGCACCATGCTTTGGTTTGGCCCTCCTAACTTTCTTCCAACCTATTCCTACATCACAAAGCATAGCTCGACGAGGTAGTCGGTGGGTAGGCATACGTAACACATGTGCCAACCACTTCAACTGATGAAGTTTCACTACTTCCTCTACTGACCTGCCATTCTTACCAAGGACCAGTTTCCCAACAACAGCATTGATTACTCGATTGTCCTATGATACACGAGCAATGCTTCGGGTAGTAGTAGTTAATTAATTAACTGAATTATTATAATTCTAGATAAAATGAGTCAAGGCGTAGTGTTTTAGAGAATTCTCTAAAATATAGAATTCATTTTTCTATGGCTTAAATTACTATTTTGACTAGAATATGTATTTCGATAACTTTGGCATACTTTTACATTGATAGCACTTCATTATTTTGCTCTTGTAATTAATTCTCATCTCATGTATAATTGTTCTGTTACATTTACAGGCAAATTGAACAGGTTCTATATAGTTGGAAAATCTATCCATCTGAACTCAGAGGTTGTTTCCATCTTTACTACACGATCATTACAGTCAACCAAATACGCAATTCACTAAGATCAGTGTAAACGCTGACAAAGAATTTAAAAGAACCGAACAGGTGTTATCTTTCAATTTAAGGCATCACATCAATCGACAACCACAACCTAATCAGTAATAAAATACAGAATCCTGGATGTTCTTGATGAATTCATTAACTAAAAGATGTTGAATTCACAGTGATTATCATTTTCGTTTTTCTTCAACTAGTGAGATACAACCACCAACGATTAGTACTATCAACCAAATGACTTTCTTTCAACTTATTTAAACTTCATCATCTATGATTTATCACTGGAACTTCATTAATTACTCTTAAATCTTTAGATATTAACTATGTAGAGGATTTATTATAAACACGAAGAGAAGTCTGCCAAGACAATTCAACTTTGTGATTGGCCTACGCTAAGGACTGAGACATTAACAAATCAATAAATCAAAACAAACAGACATTTACTACAATATTTCTCGATATAATTTAATATCAAATATTATGATTATTTATTCTCATAGTTATTTTTTTTCTACATTTATATGATTGTGTGTTTATTGACACGGTTGATAAATCTTATTCGAATATAATAATATCAGTTGTTTTTTTTATGATTATTTTCTCTAGTATTATTGCTTATTATAACATCTAACCATTTCATTATTCTTATCGCCTAAAAAAAATAACTTGATTTTCTTATATGTATAGATTTATTAGAATAGGAACTGATGAGGATTCGATGATAAATAATATTGCCCAGATTATGTTATTTGGCTCTCAGTTCGATGATAGAAATCGGTTTTAATATTGTGGGGAAAAAAAGCAAGATGAAATTATACATGAACATTGAAACTGAGTAAGTTAACGGTGATTACCGCCGTTTTATTTTCTTAAAAATTTTTAAATATTATCTAAAAACGAAAAGCTATTTTATTCAATATCAGCAAGAAATTGATTAGTTTTAAATAAATAACAAAGTATAAATTGAAAGAGGAAACAGCACGTTTCTTAAATGCATTCTCAACATGAATCTACAATTGTATAATTGAATTTACAATGTCAGTATAAAATCAAAGCAAAAATAAATGTGGATTAATAATGGCTTTGAGTAAATATACAAATCTTTATTTTGTCATTTCAATAAGATCAGACCAAAACACAATACATAACTCAGTCCTATTGTGGTGCGCGCTAATTATAAGTAGTATATGACGCAAGTGTAAACGTAATGTCTGGCAGCAGAAGATGGGGGAAGATCAAGAAAGTAAGAAGAGTGGGAACACAATGGAATTTGTATGAAACGCATGAATAGTGAAATGTCAGACAATGGATTGATGTTTTGCAAATTAACGGTTTAAGATATGGTTTTCTTATTTTACCAATTAACTCTGTAATTTGCGATAAAAAAAATTCGGTTGCCCTCACCTGTGTTCTCCTTCACTACGCTATTATTACATTTACTCAATGAAAAGTATATCATGGTTAGAATTCAAACATTCCAAATGGTTTTTATCACATACCCGTCATATTTTGTCAACAAGCTTGAAAATCGCATATAACGAAAACGACGAGATGGGATTCATGGTAACAAATCAAATCTTAGTATTTAACAAGAGTGTAACTTTTATGTACAGTCCTTGATTCAAGAAATTACTAATCTTTTTTACTCTATTCATTCTGTTTACTTCTTCAACACTGATATATTTCGATTTCGACTGATGTGATCCTATGGTGGTCACAATGTTAAATAATTTATTTCATCACCATGGCAAAGTTACGAGTTTACATGATAGAAAATCCCTAAAACAACAAACGGGCTACTCTATACTAATTGATTTTAAAATGACTAGTTAGTTAGTTGATTATTAGAAAAAACTTTGAATTAAGAATCATTCTCTATTTCTCAACATTCTCTACATTAGTTACACGTGACTCGAACATAATCCTTAATAGATTTTAAGCATTATTTGTCAATGCCATTGAAAGTGATCGATATTTTATATTTTTATCTCTAGAAAATATACAGCTCTCATTTACTTTTAACTTTTATTGTACACTGACAACGTTTATCAACCAATGGCCAGGATATCTTCCTGAATAATATACAATAAGGTTTAATTGCATTACGAGGTTGTGAAGATTGTTAAGTTACACATTTGAAATCATGAATCGATCAAAGTTAGACCACTATTAGTAGCCTGGAAGCACTGGACGGCCGTTTTGTCCTGGTATGGGATTCACCAGTGGCATTGCGCATCCACGACTCTTGCACCTCGCAAGATTCTAACCTAGGACCATCGGTCTTGCGCGCGAACGCCTAATCTAAGGTTTAATGTACAATCTAACATTTGACATTATCATAGATAAAATCTTTATTTAACAGTGTAGAAACTACAAACTAGATTACATTACATAATTGACTGAACTGTTTTATTTTTTTTGATCGATTGTAAACTTTTGTATGATAATGAAAGTATATTTGAGTTTTGTGAACATTTGTAGATGACAACATAAGTAATTCCTATTTCAGCTAACAATTAAATTAAGCAAAGTTATTTTTGATTGGTATAACTTAACAACTGACCACAAATAATTAGTGTGATGATATACTACCAACCGATTAACGATTAATCATCAAGACTGAATTCATAAAACAATGGATTCAAAAGACAGAACAAATGGTTGCATGAAATTATTTATTTTTAAGAAAATAACAGATTGATTCCGTCACAAATTGTACACATACAAAATTAAACATGACTTAAAATTCATCTAAAACAAATGAATGCTGCAGAGAATACTCATCAGTCTGCATATCAGGCTTTCGTCTTGCAGGGCATGTTATCATCATCAAAGAACGTTATTGATGTCATGATTAGTAATTTTTAATTTATTAGGCATACATGTTATGGTGTTCTTTAGAAAATCTATTTTTTTCTTGGACGTCTATTTGCTTTCAATTGACTGAAAGATAGGTTTTTTTTAAGTATGTAGTCATTATTAAAGAATGAATAACGATTTGTACTAGCACATGATAGTCAACATTTGAAAAGTATTGTAATTTGTAATAAATTCTAGGTTCATTTCTTAAAGCTGCAGTTTGAAGTCATTCATGTTTAATTCTCATTGAAAATCCCACTACTAGGAATATATCCAACAAACTAAAAAATAATCAGTCATACTTATTTGTCATTAAGCTGTGGTAAATTGTGTTTAAAAATAAAATGTACTGTTTTATTGTAGATGTAGAACCTTAGACTCCCTTTAAAACAGTCTTGTTAGATTATTACAAATACGATGTTATCAAGGGATACTTATGCATTTCATTTTAAATATTAGGACGAAATGTTCAAGCTACCATTCAGAATAACATAGAATTAGATTTCACGTGTCTCGTCAATATTGTCATCAGTGTCTCTGTGGTTCAACGCAAGACATACCCTAAGCAATAATAATATTAGTTGAAGAACTTACAAATACTCAATCGTTTATTACTAATTCTTTAAACAGAATCTTAAATGCACGTTGAAACAGATTTCCCATTTTACTCCCAATAGGAATAAAAAATAGATGAGCATTTCATGTTTCATAATAAAACCAAGAAAAAATAATCTTTTAATTAACTAACGCTGTGATAGCTTATCTTTCAATCTAATGCATATCTATTTTTAGTTTGAATTCGATTATAACCGATTATCAGTTTATCAGTCAGTCTCTTAACAAAATTATCAAATAATCTACAAAGGTATGAGGAAGGCAGTTAAAAGTTACATTCATGAAAACTCAATCAATTACAATCATCTCACTGATTCACAGGTTGTTCCTCTAGTTCGTTCAAATCTAACTAGTATTTTACTTATCCAACTCGTTGAAACAACATAAGCTCCTCTCATTCAGATATATATGTATATATATGTATATAATGTTCACTAGATAGGTTTCCTAATATGATTAAAAGTTATATCATTTAAACTAAGCTTACATATAAAATCTTAAGATAACTAACTATCTTAACCTTACCCTTATAGTTCGATCCTTATCGTCACCATCATCAACATGATTATTACAGACAGCACCGAAATTACATCAATAATGAAAGTCTGAATTCAATCAAATAAATGCATTTTTTATCATGTACATAAAAAATATGCATATGCATGCATGTATGTATGTATGTATATGTATACAGAACTAAGAGAATAATAGTAATAATAATCTGTTATTGATTTTTGCTGGCATTCATAACGGGTAAATTGAAAAAAAACAAAAGTAAGTAAATAAATAAATTAATTAAAAAATACATTCTACATCAATCGAATTGGCATTGCAATTTCAATGACTAGATTTAATAATCTGATAATTTATCATTGATAGAATCTTCCATTAAAGTTTCTAGTGTTTTTTGTGAAGTAGTAGTATTATGCATTGCGGATTCCAATGGATGATTATAATCGTGTTCATCATCGTGATCATCATCATCATCGTGTTCATCAGCATCACCATCATCATCCTTATTACTGTTCAAATAATAATTATAACCATTTGTATACTGATGATGATTCACTGATGATGATGATGATGATGAAGTGGTTGTTGTTGTTGATTGGTTAAATGATGATATAGTTTTTGATGATGGCAATTTATGCACTGTAATACTTTCACGTGGTTCTAAATTCCAAAATGCTGTATAGATACGCTTGATTTTCGGTGTACTTATTAATGAACCAAATGGATTATTGCACAGATCATGATTAGTTGTTGAATACTTATTAAAATTATCTTTACATTCTAATGTATTATTTACTTTGGAATGATTGTATGAATAAGTACTAGGTGATTGTTGTAAATTATGATGTAGTATATGCTGATGATGTTCAATTTTTGGATTATTCACTAGTATATGCCCTTCAGGTGTAACACGTAGATATTTTTGTAATTTTCTTGTTTGTTTTATATAACGCAGACGACAATCACGATAACTGGTACTGAAATTTGATTTTCCATGTGAACATAGTGAAAAAGCTGATGTGGATTTTTCAAAATATGGCCATCCAAAATCTCTGATTGTATTCATCAATAAGTGATTATTATTAACATAATTTGATGGTAACTCTGATTGCATTGTATCTGTTGAAATTATATTCTGTGAATTATTGCTAGTAGTTAGTGTACTATGAAACTCCCTGCTAAGTAATGGATATGATAAAGAATTTGACATATTATACAAATTTTGGAATGAAGCATTACTATTCGTGTCATTTTCTGCTTGTAAATATTCATGACCATAATTTGTATTATTATTATTATTATAATTATTATTATGATTACATAATGAACAATTTCCCATTGCATAGTCTGAACAATAATGTGAAGTATTATTATCTGTATTATTTGATTGATACATAATTTTTAAAAGTTAATTTTAAATCCTTTATATTTTCAACTTTACCATACATGTATTTCAAACAACAATTCTTTCGACGAGTTTTAAATGTGAATGGAAATTCTGATAAGTTACATTATACGATAAAAATGTTGACAATAGTCCACAAGATAAACATTTCCATGCATTCCATTAACCAAGTTGTACTGAAGTGACTAGCATTGACTCATCAACATATAATCCTGTTAATTGACCAATTAAATTAGTTGATAGAATAAAGGTTAATGCTGGTTGGTTTATTATTAATTTTTATTTTTATTGGTGACACTAGTCTATTTCTCATTGGTTAATTTAATTAATTTTGTAAAATATTTCTGAAGTGAATAATTAACAGATCAACTTATAGGTGATGTGTCTATGCTTTGTACCGAATGTCATGCCAAATGTTGTTTTGTGAATGTACAGTTGACCTTTAGGCATAATGGAATGTCATTTGAAAGAACAACAAGTATTTTGTTACTGTTTCAATTTTCTAGTGATTTTTGTTCTTAAGCAAAATGAAATGAATTAATAAACAAGCGCAACAATATACCAATAACTAATTACCATTCAAATTAAATTTCCAAATTTTACTAGATATGTGTATTTAGGAAAAAATGAAATCTGTTAATATACGAAATTTACACCTGTCCTCTGTTCGTAGTGCCAAGACCTACATTTATCTGGTTTATACTTGTGGCCTAACACTGATCGATTCATGATATCAACAAGTAACTCAACTATCTCCACAACTCCATAATATAAATTACCTGGCTCATAAGTGACTAGCTCCTTGAGGAATCTTCTCCAAGTTTTAGTGAAAAGTCATGACCAGTAGAGTTCAACCCTGTTCGAGTGTGAAGCAGTGTTCAACGAAGACAGTGTATGAGGTTGTGAAAGACCGTGAATTTTTCCAAGTTAGACATCAACACCGTGAGATACAGACTCTGTGGTCCAGAGGTTAGGCGTTCGTGCGCAAGATCGGAGGTTCTGAGGTGCAGGAGTCGTGGATGCGCACTACTGATGAGTCCCATACCGGGATGAAACGGCATCCAGGGCTTCCAGATTTCTAATGGTGGTCAAACATTGAATTAATGGTCTTCATACTAGACCTTTTTAAAGTTTAGACCAATTATTTATCAATACTTTATAAAAATCAAAGCATTCTGTTCATTGTTTATAATTTTAAATGCCTTTTAAAATGACTTTTGGAAAATATTCGACTTTGATTTATTGAAAGCTGGTTTCTATATTTGATACTTCTCCCAATCGTTATAGTCAGGGATTCGATACACTTCAATGTCCCCTGCCAGTTTAAATCCCATAATGAGATTTTTTCGCAAACTAACTTAAAATCTCTGTAACCTCTTATTCAAGGATAACTTCGTTACAAATATTTCTAGTTCCAAAACATTATAGTATTAAACTGTAGATGGTATTCTTTAACGGTGAAACTCACAGAAGAATGTAAATAGATCTTATAAATAGTATGTGAATGGTATTATGCTATCAATTAGTGAAAGATTGCCGTTACTTTTTACTTCAAAGTTTGTTATAACTCTCTCTTTGTGAACCCAGCTATTCGTATTGCTTAGTATTCTCTGACAACAATACAGTCGACAAGTCCCCAAAATAAGAACACGGTTGAACAGGAAAAAGATTATATTCCAAATAGCAAGGTTAAATGGAAGTAAGAAGCCGAAGCCAAGGTGAACTGGGAACAACGTTAGTATCTTCATAGTTTTTACTTGAGAAGCTTCTAAAATGTATTCCATATGATCGACTAGAGCTGATCGGACTAGATTTAGCCAATCAGAGTGAAGCTAACAACACGAGAATTTTATAGAATGCTCTCCAAGTATCTACCAGGCGCTGATTGGATAGGAATTAGCCATTCAGCACGCAGCTAACACAGTCACGCTTCAATCCATCTATGTCTCACTAAACAAAGTTAAATTCACTTTTTAATTGAGGAATATAAAAAAATCAAGTGAATATGTCATCCAGGGACTATCTTATATCCTTCTTTATTACAAAAAAAGAACTTTTTCCATGACTAAATATTATTTTCAGTCAGAAAAATATTTGTCCAGAAAACACTCTTGAAGAGGAGAAGGTAGTGAACGTACCACTCAGTACTCACTCATGGGAAAACATTGATTTTCAACGTGAGTTTAATGGTTCATGTTTGACCAACTTTTTTATCTGTTCATTTATATCTAGTTTACCATAACATGGAAATAAAAAAACTAATCTAATACAAAGTAAGATTCATTCTTACTGTGTTCCATGTATATGCACATTACATGTTTTAGTTCAACAATTCGAAGAAATGAACTACAGAGTTTAATTGACTAAAACAGTTTAATTAATTGTTCTTTAAATATTCTAATTCAATCTTAGTTTAATTTAAAACTTTCTTTCAAAAGTACACAATTAAATCTAGACATAAATTCACTATTAATTTATCCCTAGATCAATCAGAGTTAGACATTAACACCGTTGGATGCCGGCCCAGTGGTCCGATGGTAAGGCGTTCGCCTACAACGCCAAAGGTCCCGGGTTCGAATCCTGCGAGGAGCAGGGGTCGTGGATGCGCACTGCTGAGGAGTCCCATACTAGGACGAAACGGCCGTCCAGTGCTTCCAGGTTTCTAATGGTGGTCTAACAATGATGATTGATTAATGATTTCAAATGTGTAAAAAAAACATTGCTAAACATAAATAAGAATGTAAATATTTCATTGAACATTGAAAATATTTATCATGTGATGATAGATAGAATATACTTTGGATAATTGAATTGAATTTTGAACAATTCTATCTGGGTTATTTTTTTCTCATTTTCACACAATTCCACTGGTCAATATATACAAAATAAGTAGCGGTGATGACGTTTTTTTTGTCTCTTGAAGTGTTTATTTTTTAAAACTTTATTTTTCTATTATTGTTATTCGTGAATAATTAGGGAATTACAAAATCTACAGAAAATTCTTTTTAGTTTCTAATGAATTTGTATTTTTAGTGAATGTAGGTCATGAATAATGATTATCTCACTTATTTTGTTTATAAGATAATATTTTCGAATTATAATTTTCTTTTGATGACCAATTACCTTAGTTATCTAAATAGAACAGTAAAAATTCAATATAATAAACTTATTAAGAACAAATTTTCAATAATAATAATAATAATAAGAATAATAATTTCATTCTTATTTGAATTTAACAAAAGCATTCAATCAAACAAGTACCATTGAAATTTTGAATAATGACCATAAATGAGTAAATAAAATAATTGTGGAATATTAATTAAATCGATGTTATAGTTGTGGACATGGCGACTTATCATGACAATGAAATAGAGATTTATTGGTTGGACTGGTTGTTTTCTTCAGTCCCTACAGTAATATGTGTGTACTAATTTGTCAAGCCTAAAAGGTTGCTTCAGTCTTTGGACAAATTAATTGTATAATTCTCCTGGAGTTATTCACATGCCTTTCAACCTAGTCAATTATTTGCTTATAATCTCTGTTGTTTTATTTGAGTGTGTGTGCCGGTGTATTGCACACTTCGCTGATCACATGTCTAGCTTGTTTTTGTCTAACTTCAAAATACTTAGTTTTACCTCATGGAATGCAGTTGGCCCACTCGCATTCTCCGCTTTACTTCTGTTCGCTTTCCTGCATTTTGTCATTCGCGTCTTTCCGGATGAATGATTTCATAAATCAGTATTTGGCTTCTTATTACCGCCGTCGCACAACCGGGATTTGCCTATTACATGAAAGATTTATTTCATAGTGCATTCAATCGTTTGTTCAAATTGGAGTCAGAATTCGGGCCATAAAACGGTTGGTTTGAGGACGGCTGGACTAAAAACAGCAAATTATAATCCAAGGTGTAAGTTGTATTATCGTTTGTGTATGGGGCGGGGTAACAACGTTAACTTGTATCCATCTGGACAACCGACAACTGAAGTGAAGGAACTTTATGAAAAAATTTAAAAAAAGGTTTCCTTTAGAAACAACAAACCTCATCTTACCCGACAGATTTTTCCTGCCACTGGTAAAAGCCTAAAAGTATGAAGGTAGCAAAGCATGAAAATTTGCAAAAAGTTTGTTTGTTACCTGATCCATTCAGTTTTTCTTTTGAGTACTGCGATTGTAAATGCCTCAAGTAGATATGTTCTTCTATAGTATAGTTAATAGGGAAGTGATAACTTTTCTTACACTGATAACAACACTGGTCAAAACCTTATTCATCATTAAGTTCATAGTGATAATAAATCTTGAAACATTACTAGTTTTTGAGCTTTTATCCTGCCAACTTTGTTTACTGATTCAATTCAGACATGTTTGTGTTTTAGAACATTCGAAAACAAATTCAATTAAGTTTCTTTACATTATGGTTTTAGTAGCTAAATATTTCAAATTAGTATAATGAATTTTCAGAGCAGTTACTTAGTCAGTTACAACGTAGCACTTCGTACGTAAGTTCAAAAGTTCAGGTTGCCATACCACATTAGCACAGAGGCGCTACTGTCAGTTCAAATCCAGGGGTGATATAGATAGTAGAAGTATTAACGTTCATGCAGAAGATTAGGGTTCGAAGAAACTACTCAAGAAGTATAATTCAATAAGACCAAATTACAAAGAGTAAAGGAGAGGTGATGAGGAATTCAGAAAACTATAATTTGAGAAAACATAAAGGGTGGATGCACCTGAGCCACTGCAAACGATTTTGATCTATATGATTCAAGGTCTCTAACCATCGGTTACTATTGTCTTGCGGACACCAACCAGGTCGCCTACATCCACCAACACGAATCAGTCCACTTGTCAGTGACTTCATGGATGTGTGTCATGTTTTGGTTTGGCCGCAACCTAGCTTTCTTTCAACCTACTCCTACACCACAAAACATAGCTCGTCGCGGCAGTCGGTGGTTGGGTATTCGTAATACATGTCCCAACCACCTCAAATGATGAAGTTTCACTACTTCATCTATTGATCTTCCTTCCTTACCTTGTGCTGGTTTCTTAATGGCAGTATTGCTTAGTTGGTTGTCCCATGTTACACGAGCAATCCTTCGAAGATATCTATAATCAAATACTGATAAGCCTCAACTCTTACCAGCCCTGTTTTGCATCCATATAGTAGGACGGAG